TAATTTTACTTCAATTTTTGAAAAAAAAATTTTTCATGTCCAAAAAAGCATAATAAATTTTTTTTAACAAAAAAAAATTTTTTTTATTTAGAAATTTAGTCACTTTTTTAAAGGATTTCACTTCTAAAATTGGCATATTGCGCGCGCTTGTAATGCGCATGCTTTACGGAATCTCGTAAATTGCCGAAGATATCCGAGCGGCTCCGACAGAGAGCAAAAATAAAATTTGAATATTTTTAAAGCTGAATTTTTGTGACAAAAAATTTTTTATGGAATAAAAAAATTTTTAAATTGAAAAAAATTTTTTTCTTATTGAATTTGTGTCCAAAAAAATAAATTAAACTATTTTTTAACAAAAAAAAATTTTTTATTCCGAAATTTAGTCACTTTTTTAAAGAATTTTACTTCTAAAATTGGCAAATTGCGCGCGCTTGTAATGCGCATGCTTTGCGGAATATCGTAAATTGCCGAAGATATCCGAGTGGCTCCGACAGAGAACAAAAATAAAATTTGAATATTTTTAAAGTTCAAAAAAAATTTTTTTTAAAAAATACCTCCAAGAATTAAAGAATAAATTTTCATATTAAATAACAAAAAAAAATAATTATTCCAGTCTTTTCATTACGACTCTTTTAAACAATTAAAACCCACATTAATTAATAAATTAACAAAGCGCTAAATTAATAACTAAATAAATAAATTAACAATTTTTAACATTAAAAAATATTGCACATAGATTTTTTTATGAACAAGCTGCTCAATAATACTTAACAAAACTAACATAATTATTACGCACCATATTTTAATTGCAGTGTAATAAATTTATCTTAAACCCTTTTTTTTTTACAATTATTACATTACTGCCCTCGCAGAATTTCACACTTACTCCTACATTAATCAGTAATTATTTTAATATCATACTATAATTATGTTTAATATTATAATTATTAATATTAATACAATATAAATGCCATAGATTAATTATCATATATAATTATTAATTTATTAAATGTGATAAATTTCGGTGATAAAAAAATGTGAGAGCGATTAGAAATAAAATGCAATATAAAAAATTTATTATTTAAATATTTATAGACAATAAATAAATAAATAAATAAATGGACAGTCTTGTTCATAAAAAAATGAAATAATATTGCACATTAATAAAAATTGCAATGACATTTAAATAAAAAATATCTTCTTTTCTAAATTATTAATTATTAATCATTCATTCACAATGACTACACGTTTGGCAATAATAAATTCGTAATATACACCTTAAGTACGATTAAAATTCGACTGGCTGTCATAATATTGAGACTTACCCTTAGAGGTATTGTTCATATTGACACTTAATTAATTTAATAATAATATTTTCATTAATTTAATTTAATATTAGCTAATTAAACGATTAAAATTAATCGTATGATATTTTCTTTATACTATCAATTATTTTTTAAATAAATTATGTACAAACTATAGACAATTGCTGTATTTATCTTACTAATTGTTTAAATATGTGTTTTATATTTATTAATTTATTATTTACCGGTAATAATGATAGCGGATGAGAGCAATTGATTATTTAAGACAGTAACAGTGAGAAATATATATATTCAATATTTTATTGATGATTAATAATGATAAGTCTGATAGTTCCTATAGTGGCTAATTTTTTATTTATTTTTTTTAATTTATATTTTAGGAGTTATCCAATTTTTTAAGCAAGCCAGTTGAAGTAGACATGACTAACATTTTTTACACTTTTTTATTTGAGGTGTACGCTTTTTTTTTAACGCACCCATTTTTTTTAATGTTATTTACAACCTTTGGGATCGCGTGAGCGATTTATTTAGACTAGATTTATTTACACTTGTTTATTTTTTTAATGGTTTTGTCGATTGAGTTACTAATTTTGAATATTTTTAATTGCATAGAAAGTTTTTAAGTATTTTATTTATAATTTTCGATTTTTGTTTTATTTAAAACAAAAAAATTAATTTTTATTTACCAGAAAAAATTATAACTTTTGTTTTTTAATAAAATTAAAAATTTTATTATAATTGATTTGTTATTAAAATTTTTTTAATTTACATTAATATTAGCAGATACTAGAGAATTTTTTATGAAAATTAATTAAGCATAAATTAATTAATTTAAAAAATTTTAAAGCAAAAAAAATTGACATTTAGAAATTAAAAAAAATTAAATATTCAATTTTTTAGAAATAATTTTTTTAAACAAATTTTTTTGATAAATAAAATTAAAAAATTATTTAAAAAAAATTATGACATTAAAGTTAGCTGTCACTTGAAAAATTTCTAATTTTATTTAACAATTAAATTAATTATAAAAAATTATTTTTAAAAAATTGCATTTTTTATTTTTAAAAATTTCTAAATGTCCAATTTTTTGTCATAATTTATTTGTTAAAAAAAGTTCTAAAAATTATTAAATAACTGCTAAATTAATTTTCATAAAAAAATTACACTTGTAATTTTTTAAAGCTTCTGAATATAAAATTATTTAAAAAAATGTTTAAAAATTATCAGTGGATTTCTTGAAAATTTATTTACCAGATATTTGTTAATTTTTCTAACAAAATAAATAAAAAAAAAAAATTGACGTAGAAATTTAAAAAAATTAAAAATGCAATTTTTTAAAAATAATTTTGATAAATAAAATTAAAAAATCGTCAAATAACTGCTAACTTAAATCTAGTTGCCTCTCTCAGAATTATTAACTCTAAAAATTGTCAGATGTCTGCTGATTTTATTATTGTAATTTTTATAATAGATTTTTTTCACTTACTTGCAATTAATTGATGAAAATTCATTGCTCCGGAGCTTGTTCAGTCTTAATATCACATTTTTATGCACTTACATTAATTAATTAACTTAATTTTATCATAAAATACTTTAAAACCAAGAAAAACCTCACCGAACACTCTCAACCGTCATTCACCGCGTCGCCATTTTGAATTGATGCGCGCGCAGCTTGTTGAGGTCCCAATTTTTAAATAAATTTGTGTAAATAATTAATTTTTTTAATTAAGTAATTAAATTTTTTTATTAAGGTGATTAAAAATTATTTAAAGCAATTAATTAAAAATATTAAATATATATTTTAATTAATTTAAAAAAATTTTTAAAGAAAAATATAAAAATTAAATTTTATTAAATTTATTGTTTTAAATTATTTTTAATTACTTTATTCAAAAAAGTTAAAAGTTTAATTACTTAATTTAAATGAATTTAATTTAAAAATTATTAAAAAATTAATTATTTAAATAAATTAATTTAAAAATTGGGGCCTAAAAAAGCTGCGCGCGCATCAAATCAAAATGACGACGCGACGCATGACGGTTAAGAATGTGCGGTGAGGTTTTTCCGGTTTTTTAAAGGATGTTATGGTGAAATGAAGTTAATTAAATAATGTGAGTGCATAAAAGTGTGATATTAAGACTAAATAAGCTCTAGAGTAATGAATTTTCATAAATTAATTGCAAGTAAGTGAAAAAATCTAGTGTAAAAATTGTCATAGTAAAATCAACAGACCTGGCTATATTTGAAATTATTATTCGGAAATTGTGAGACATCTATATTTAAGTTAGACAGTTACTTCATGATTTTTTTATTTTATTTAACAAATTTAATTCGAAATAATTATTTTTAAAAAAAAGCAAATGTAATTTTTTAAAATTTTGATAAAACTTTGTTAATTAAATTAAAAAAATTTATTTAAAAAAGAAAGAAAAATTCGGGCCTTAAAAAGCCTGCGCGCGCATCAATTCAAAATGGCGACGCGGCGCATGACGGTTAAGAATGTTCGGTGAAGTTTTTCCTGATTTTTAAAGTATTTTATAATAAAATGAAGTTAATTAATTAATGTGAGTGCATAAAAATGTGATATCAAGACTAAACAAGCTCTGGGGTAATGAATTTTCATCAATTAATTGCAAGTAAGTGAAAAAATCTGATATAAAAATTACCATGGTAAAATCAGCAGAAATTTGACAATTTTTGAATTTAATAATTCTGAGAGAGACCACTAGATTTAAGTTAGCAGTTATTTGACGATTTTTTAATATTATTTATCAAAATTATTTTAAAAAAATTGCATTTTTAATTTTTTTAAATTTCTACGTCATTTTTTTTTTTTTTAATAATTTAATTATTAAAAAAATTATCAAATATCTGCTAAATTAATTTTCATAAAATCAGCTGATTATTTTTAAAAATTTTTTAACTAATAAATAATTTCATCTTTAGAAACTCTTAAAAGTTACAATAAGTGTAACTTTAAAAATAATTTATTAGACCAAGTTTATAATTTAAAAAATTCTCTAGTCTGCTAATTTTAATGTCATAGCTTAAGACTTAAATTAATTCACAAAAAAATAATTATTAGAAGAGATATTGATAAATTTTAAACAAAATACTCAAAAAATTTCCAAAAAATAACTTAAAAAATTCTTAAGATTATAAAATATCTGCTAAATTAATTTTCATGACGTCTGAATGAAATCAGCTTATAATTTTTTACAATTTTTTAATAAATAAATAATTGCATATTTAGAAGATTTTAAAAATGACAAGTGTAATTTTTTAAAAATAATTTTCTAGACCTATTTTATAATTTAAAAAATTCTCTAGTGTCTGCTAATTTTAATGTCATAGCTTCAGACTTTAATTAAGATAATACTGAAATTAGCTGTTAATTTAAAAAATTTTTGAAACAATTATAATAAAATAAAAATTTTTACTTGTAATTTTAACTAATTTTCACAAGTGGAATTTTTAAATAAAATTTTTTTTAACAATTTAATTGATATAAAATTCTAAAAAAAGTTTTAATTAAAGTTAGCAGTTACTTAACCATTTTGTATTTCTTTTTTGTTCCAAAAAATTATTTTTAAAAAATTGCATTTTTTATTTTTTAAAATTTCTACTTATCAATTTTTTTTGCAATAGTTTATTTGATAAAAAAATTATCAAATATCAGCTAAATAAATTTTTATCATAAAAAATTTTAAACAAAATATTTAAAAACTTTCCAAAAAATATCTTAAAAAAATTCTATAAAATAATAAATCAACAATCATGATAAAATTGCGTGACTCAACCGCGAGACTGATGGTCTCAGATGGGCGTCGGCAAGACAGTAAAATCTTGTAGTGCAGTTTTGACAGTTTCATAAGTAGGTCGATTGGTTTCATCAGCGCAGTAACCATCAGGTGTGCAGAGAGTCTGCAATTTCGTGAGATAACTGTCAAAATTTTCGTGGCCCATTTTCTCAGGCGGACCACCAGGCGCGCTGGGTATCCTGACATGCTCCAAGAAGGTGATCATGTTATCGCGCAGCGACTGGTAATAATCCGTCAGATGGTTGTTCCTTTGGGCGATGCTCGTCGTTTCCTGGAAAGACAATCCGAGTGATGATAACAATATAAAAAAAAGCTGATAAATTACCAACAGTTAGTAAGAAAAAAAATTTACCTTCTCTCCGTGCTTCAGATGGTTTTCCATAGCGTTAACCTCAGAGCGCAATCGCATGACCTGAGACTCCACCCGGGCATTTTCTCTCTGTAACTCGGTGATCTCCGCCTCCAGAGTGTAGAGGTCCTCGCCCTGACCACCAGCAGGTCCACTAGCACTCGTGCTTCCCTGTCCCGCGCCCAACGCACCACCCTGAGCTGGACCACCGGCGTCCACCCCTGAATCAACACAACCAGCCCCTTTAGATTTTTATTTAAAATTTTTTAGAGGGAAAAATATTATTTACGAATGCATGAGACCTGCTGGCATTTACTTTAGTTTTTTTTTCAATGATAAGCTTTATTTTTTTTTTTTTTTTTTTTTTTTTTAAGCATTGTAATGATATACCTCTCCCTTATGTTCAGAGAGGAGTGCGGGGAACTCAAGGCGTGTATTTTAACACGAAATGTAGCGAGCAAATAATCGGGTCTGGAGTTGGGTTTGTTAAAAATATATAATAATATATATATTTGTGTATTATTGTTGTTATTTTACACAGCGAGTTGGGTCATTGTTGATCGATCGTGCTTACTTCGTTGCTCTTTTTTAAATTAATAGTTAAGTAAAAGTACTAATTTTTTTTTTTTATTATTAGAAATTCTTTTTTTTTTTAATTTTAAATTGCACTTATTATTGACACATTTTTTAATTATACTTAAATCATTAAATTATATATATAGTTTTTTTTGAGAGAAAAAATGTTTTTGAATTTTTAGATTTTTATTTTAAATTTGTCATATAATAAAATTATAATTTTTGATAAGAATTTAAAAATAAAATTCAGAAATTACCTTGTATCTTGTGAACTATTGACATTTTTAAAGATATAAGCTCATCCCGATGTTACACTCATCAAGACCTTTCATTTGAGTACCCATATCAATTTTTTATATATTTTATATATTTATATATATTATATATATATATATGTATGTATGAAAAATATATAAAAAATGCATGTGGGTACTCAAATGAAAGCTCTTGATGAGTGTAACACCAGAATGAGCTTATATCTTCAAAATATATATTATATATATATGTATATATTAAAAATATATCAAAAATGCATGTGGGTACTCAAATGAAAGCTCTTGAAGAGTGTAACATCGAGATGAGCTTATATTTTTAAAAATGTCAATATTTAAGAAAGTACAGTGCAATTTAACGAAAATCATTATTTAATAAATTTAATTTATTTATAGTTTACGTTTTTATAAAAAAAATTAAAAACCAGCTAAAATATCAATTTCTTTTATATTTAAAAAATTTGCCACCAATTTTGTCCATTTTTTAAAGAATTTATTTTATTATTTTTAATGATAAAGTAAATTATTGCGAATAATCAGTGCTAACTAAAAAATTTTTTTTAATAAAAAAAAAATTTTGAGTTACAATAAAAATAATTCTTTAAAGAAAAATAAATTTAGTACTTTTACTAAACCAAATCGCTGCGAATCCTTGTCATATAAAAATAAACAATAGGAAGTAAAGGAAGAATTTTATTATAAAAAAATAGGACATATATTTGATAAGGAATAGCGTGAGGTGCCATCATACCATTATTGAGTCCGAGTGTTGACTTATACTACTTAAAAAAAAAGGTGCAACAAAGTAATAAATAAACACTCGGATCATTTGAGACACACATGTGTAATCGTTTAAAATAATAAATAACACCGATAAAAGTATAATAATAATAATTATAGTAATAATAATAATAATAATAATAATAATAAATAACAAAACACATAAACAATATGGCGAGTACGTCAGTCCCTTACCTTCAAAAGTAAATGTTCTCCTCAAAGCTCAATGACAGGAAAGGAGGAGCTGATCGTGATCCCAAGAATAAATCAGAATAGATTATTTCAAAAATTGATCTTTCTTTTAACTAAAAATTATTTAAGCATCTTCTTCATTTCTTCCTTGTGTGCAGGATTCATTAAAATTATAGAGTTATAAAATAAAAATTTATCCGTGGAATTTATAATGGAGTTTAATGGACGTGGATGTTGTTTTAAATGATCCTCGATACGCGATCCATAAAATAATAAATAAATTATTTAATTACTGAATATAAAATTAAATTAACATAACGACGTGTCGAAGTATGAAGATTATTAGGAGCTGGTTTGTTTTAATTGGTATGACAGCACATCATTGCATGGAATTGTTACAAGGTGATGGTATGATAGGTTACACTCAAAAAAACTATTTGATTCATGATAAATATTTTGAAATTTTAATTTTGAGATATTCGGTTCGAAGTAATTCAAGAAATTTATGAATTTTATCAAAAATATTAAAAAATTTTAACAATTGAAGAAAACATTAAATATAATTTAACAATCTCAATTTTAATCTCATAAAACGTTTAAAATTAAAAATTTCTGCATTTTTATATAAATTAAAAATACTTTTTCTGAAAAATTAAATTTTCCAAAGTTTAGAATATTTTTTTTAGTATAAATAAGTTAAAAATCAATGAAATTATCAATTGGATGTTTAAAATTCCCGCGGAGTTAGAGCACATGCGCAGGAACGGTTCCAGCGCATGCGCAGATCTAAAATCATGCTTAATAGGTATTAACCTTTGATTTTCTTCAAATTTGAAGTTATTACAATGATTTTTTTTAATCATTTTCAAAGAAAATAACAAATATTCCTTTTATTTCTCATTAATTATTAAAAATAACTCTCTAAAAATTTTAATTAAAATTCTTAATACATCTAAAATTTTAAATTTCTGCCTTTTTTATAAATATAATAATTTATTAATGATAAATTAAATTTTCTAAAGTTCAGAATATTTTTTTTAGCACAAATAAGTTAAAAATGAATAAAATTATCAATTTGCAGTTTGAAATTCCCGCGGAGTTAGCGCGCATGCACAGGAACCGTTCCAGCGCATGCGCAGATCTAAAATCATGCTTAACCTTTGATTTTCTCCAAATTTGAAGTTATTACAATGATTTTTTTTTACTACTTAGAAAAAAATAACTAATATTTAATTTTTTATCAAAAATAATTCTCTTAAGCCTTTAAAAATGGATTAAAGTAATAAATTAGTTTCTTAAAAAACTTTTTTTTCGGTATTTTCAATAAAAACTTGTTCTTGAATCAAAACAACCAGTTATCTTAAAAAAACTTCCGTTTATAATAATGTATTATAAAAATTTCTCTCGAATCAAATAATTTTAAAGTGTAGAATTAAAATTAAAAAAAAATTTCCTCCCAGAGGGGAGAGAGCTCCAGCTAAGATGATCCTGAAAATTTATCGAGTCTTCTGAAGATGTAACGAGATAAGCATGATAAATCGACAGGATCTACGTATCGATTTAACCACCCGGAACTCTAAAATCAGGATAATCTAAAAGGATTTAAATGATATGCCTGTTATTCCTCACCGGTGATTCCTTTGCTGTACATGCTGGTCATGTCTTCGAACTTGGGCTTCCGAAGGGTGTTTCCGGCGATCGGACACCCCGATAGGGACCTGTGGGTCGAAAAGGATCCGTTTATGTGCCCGATTCCGTCGCACCCAGGTGTTGGGCAATTTACACCCTCAAACTTCATCGCAGTGGCCGCGGCAACTGCCGCTTTGTGTTGCTCGACCGTCCCTCCGGATTCTAGCACTCGCAATTTGTTGCGGTTCGCTATTGGACAACCCGATGCACTAAAAAGAATATAAAAAAATTAGATATTTTTGTTAGTTTGTGTTTGATGGAGAAAGAGGGTGAGGAATTACCTTCGGTGGCTCAGAAACTTTCCAGTGGCGTGTCCTGACCCGTCACAACCTGGTATTGGACACCTAGCGTACGAAGCGTCATCACCGCACATTATTCCACAAGGAGACAGCGTGAAATGAGCGGAAACCACGACATATTAGTCAGCATCTTGGCTTTAACTCAAACTAAATTCTATCTAGACTGATTCTATGAGGGTCCTCTTACCCTTCTTAGTTTAACTAACCAACCTAAGTATTTCGTGTGTACTTAATTCATTATCTTGATTATTTATCATTTGTGTTAAATGTTTCGGTGTAATTAATCTAGAATTTTTTTAGAAAATTGTACCTTATTTTCAGCAATAGAATATTCGGAACATTTTTAGGAAAAATTAGATTCTATAATAATTTGTCTAGTCTTTTTTAGAGATTAGGGAAGAATTTGAGGATATTTAGTTACAAATTGTTATTCTGTAACTAAAGCTCAGTTTTTTTTACATAGGCCTTCGGGAACTAGCTTAGTTGAAGTAGGGATGTAATGTTTTTGTTCCAATTTAACTCAAAATTCAGATCAAATTTTTCATAACTTATGTTTTACGTTAAAATGCAAGCTAATATTTTTGAAAAATTTTACTTTGTTCTGTGATGAGAAATTCGGCGCATTTTTAAGAAAAATTAGATATTATAAAAATAGTTATTGATTTTTAATTAGTTGTAGAGGTTTAATCTTGTTCTGTGAGGAATAATTAACTACACTTGAATTAGATAAAATTTTAGTGACGTAAGTAATCGGGGACTAGCTTAGTTGAAGTGAGGGAGTGTAACATTTTATAAAAAATTTTTTTGCTCTGATTTGACTAAAAATTTTATACTAATAGATAAATCAGTAGAGTTTTTAATCTTTGCTCCGGTGTAATTAATTAACTACACTCAATTTAGATTATATTTTTGATGACGTACAGAGACTACTCGGATTTAAATCCAGGCCAACTTTTAGAAATTTTGAATTATAGTATCAAGATACAGACAATACTAATCAATAAAATAGATTTTTTAAATTGAAACAAAGCAATATCCCCGACTGTCAATTGTTTTTTTTTTCGAACATTTAATCTTCTAAATTTAACAAGTACAATCCTCGTGATTATCTAAAATTGTTATTTGTTGTCAGTAGAGTTAGTCTATAAATTAATAAAAAATAAGAAGAAACTAATGAACATTTTTTGAAAAAACAATAACACTTTATCAAAAAACGTTATCAATTACGTTAAGTCTTAATGACTTATTGCATACTTGTTCATTAAAAGCAAAAAAAAGAAACTTAAAATTCTTTTGATCAAACAAAATACAAACCTTAAAGGTTCTGAGTCTTGTCCATCTCGAGGCTTGCTCTTAGGTTTATTAGCGCGGGGGCATCCCGATAGACTTCGATGTGAGCTGTAATTTCCTGTGACGTGTCCTGACCCGTCACATCCGGGCGTCGGACATTTTAGTTCTTGGGAGTGGGCTTGGATTTGCGAACGGTCGGCTCTAGGACATCCCGATAAACTGCAATCATTATTATTTATATTTATCATAAATATGAGCTTACTCATTACTAATTATCTCTCTTTCTCTCTTCAATTATAAATATTTCCATCCCATAAACTTCTCCTTTAATTTCCATATGAATACCAGCATCCATTATTATTATTACACAAGCATGCACATTCACGACTTGCCTCATTAAATCTATAATAATAATAATAATAATAATAATAATAGTAATTCGAAAGCTAACATCTCTTCTCTTAGAATCTAAATTCTGCAAAATTAATCGATCGTTATGATAACTATTATTGTCATTATTTAAATGGAAATTTATGCAGTTTTATCCAATATCCAATATTGATTTTTTAAATAATTAATCAGACAAAAATGTCAATTTAAATTTTATTTATAATTTATAGTTTCTTTCTCTATAAATTCGACTCGGGCATTTTTTTACTTCGCTGCCCACTAGAGGCAGGCATATAAAAATTTGTTTTATATAATTTTAAATATAAATCTACTTTAAAAAAAAATAAGGTGTTAGGGTACTCGTGCTTGGGAGCCGAAAAAAAAAAATGAATTTTTTATTATTGATTTTATATTCAATAACAGCCTTGCCTTCTGTGGGTAGCGTAGTTCCCCGAGATATGACCCATGCCGTCGCAGGAGCTCGTCGGACAGTGAATCAACTCCTTGCCGTCACGGCCACGGGGGGCTGAGTAACTCAACGGTTGCCGCTTCGCATTTATACTGCACACCGAGATATTAACCAATCAATTTTAAACGTATCCGTTAAATTTTATAATTAATATTAATTATTATAAAATTTTTTATCTTTGTTAATATTTGAATTTAGAAATGGTCAGGGCTGACCATTAAGATTTAGTACTACTTTTTAATAAGAAGACTAACAGATTTTTTTTTGTATTCAATATTAAGTGCTTTAAAATTGGTGATTTTTTTTATGGTAAAATGTGTGTAGTTTAATTGTTTAACAATGGTAAGTCTGGCAATTAAGAGGTCGAGACCAAAAAAATTGACTTTTAATAAAAAGTAATGTAATCTGTAATTAAAATATGTGTTCGGATATTTTTATATTCAAATCGAGACGACTACTGCCTTCATACTTTGTCTCAAATGAGATTTCGCGGTTAACCATCTATTGAATAATTAAAACATTCATTTTTTGTATTAGTTATTAATTGCTTTAAAATTGGTAATTTTTCTTTGGTAAAGCGTGTGTACGTGGGATTTATTATTAAAAACTTATTTTTAAATTTATTAAAGGAGACTGTCGAAGCTTAAGAATTATTGGAATAATAGAGTCCAGCGGCGGAAATGCTACTTGTGGAAAATTTAAGTATTTTAGTGTCAAATTAATACTAGGTTTGTTATTTTTTGAATAAGCTGTTGTTAGTCGACAATAACACTTGATAAGTTGCGTTTGAATCAACACGAAATTTATGTTGAAAAGACTAACTCGGAATCTGTCGAACAATTAAAGTGACACTTACGATTTAAAATGTTTATTAAACGGACAAAATAATCCTGATCTACTGCATTGACACACAATTAAAAATCCAAAAGTAACCACACACTCATTTAGTCTCACTAATATATACTTTTGTTGAGTTTAAGGGTTACAAGACTCACAACGATTGTAGCTTAACTATTTATCCGACTCTTTTATCTTAAATATTATTTAAATAAAGTTTGTTATTAGTTTTAAGATTGAAGAGCCAAGTTTACTAAAATTTACCAAATAATTTGTTATAAAATAGAATAACTGACAGTTTATTTTTATTTTAAATATTTTATTTGTGTGAGCTAAATTGGTAGAACTTATAACCTTTAAAGTACCTTTTAGTTGACTATTTTTTTATTATTTTTTAAGAATTTAATGTTTGTTTAAAAAATTGGAAATATTTATAAATTTATAAATTTTTAGCTAAACAAATTCTATTACAGTTTACAACTAGATGGAATTTTAAATTTACATATTTAATGAGTTAATCAATTGATTATCTATTAAAAAATTGAATTTAAAAGTAATTAAATACATTTTCTACTAAAAATTTAATTTAATGGTTCAATAAATCATTTTTTTCATTAGAAAAGTGAATTTAAACTGTTAAATTATTTTTTTTTTATTAAAAAATTAACTTTGACAAGTGAATTTATTGATATTCTTAAAGAAAAATTGAATTTATTATTACCGAATTAATTTTCAATTAAAAAATTAAATTTATTATTGAAACGAATTACTCAAAAAATTTTTGACTTTTTCTCAATAATACCCGAAAAATCCAGCAGAGTATGTTAAATTCCATGCAGACAACTAACAAATGAATAGTGAGTCTATACCTTGATAAGAGCCCGAGGAAAACGAGCGTGTTTAGCTTGGAAGAGATAGAAAAGGGAGTTTGCAAACTCCATACCGACATTTGGGCGTCTCGAGCGTCCGAGAATAGTCCGAACGAGTCTCGTCGTCTCCTCGTTCTCGAGTTACGAGAAAGCTTGAGACCTCGATGGCCCTTGAGTGCCCGCGATATTGCCGAGGGCCTATCCCACTAGCACCCCTCACCCCGACATAGCCAACTCCTAGGCCATTCGGAAGCTACCCTCTTACCGCACGCTCTTTGCCCCGTGGGATCTCCAGAAAACCGAGCGCCGACCGGGGTCTTGAGTGCAATCACGCCGCGAATGCCTCCACCGGAATACCGCTTCCACTTGGTCTCAAGCGCTCTACAAGGAGCCGAGAGCTTCTCATATCCCAGCTTAGAAAATTGACATTTACCTCATTTTTTCATAACTTCTGACCGTTTTATCAATCAGCGCATCGATTATATCCCTTTCCTATCATATTATTCCCTCATATTGGCCATTAATAAAGCTAAAGTATCGTTATCCACCGAGTTAGATTCCGCAGAGGCACCACAAGTATGCTTTTCCAATAAATTGCCCAGTAAACTTTTAATAAAATCATCTTTGGGCAGAAATTAACTATTAAATAACTCCTCGAAAGATATTAATGGCACCTTTTAGAAGATCCTTATCAAAAAAATCCATGTAGGTTTGTGTGGGAATCCAAATCCGAAAATATGGATTCATGTAGGAATGTATGAATTTTAATTTGAATTTGTGCATTTTCAAGATTTTATATCATTCTCACCGATAGTCAATTTATTATGATTTAGGCTGTATTAGGAAATGCTCTATCTCTAGATACATAATTAAAAAATGACCTTGTATCTTGTGAACAATTGACATTTTTAAAGATATAAGCTCATCCTGATGTTATAGACATCGAGACCTTTCATTTGAGTACCCACATCAATTTTTTATATATTTTATATATTTCATAAATATCATATATATATAAAATATATGAAATATATAAGAAAAATCATGTGAGTACTCAAATGAAAGGTCTCGATGAGTGTAACATCAAAATGAGTTTATTTCTTGAAAAATGTCAATAATTAAGAAATGACCTTGTATCTTGTGAACTATTGATATTTTTAAAGATATAAGCTCATCCCGATGTCACACTGTTCAAGACCTTTCATTTGAATACCCACATCAATTTTTTATATATTTTATGTATTTCATAAATATCATATATATAGAATATATATAAAAAAAATTATGTGGGTACTCAAATGAAAGGTTTCGATGAGTGTAACATCAAGATGAGTTTATATCTTCAATAACATCATTAGGTGACAAGATACAACATCATTTCTTAATTATTGATATTTTTAAAGATATAAGCTCATTGTGATGTTACACTCATCAAGACCTTTCATTTGAGTACCCACATCAATTTTTCATATATTTGATATATTTATATATGTTTAGATATATGAATATATGAAAAATATATCAAAATGCATGTGGGTACTTGAATGAAAGGTTTCAATGAGCGTAACATCAGGATGAGCTTATTTCTCTAAAAACGTCAATATTTAAGAAAGTACAGTGCAATTTAACAAAAGTCATTATTTAATAAACCACAATTTTATTTATTTATAGTTCACAAGTAAAGGCACACCGATAGAAATTTTAACTTGACTCAAGAACACCAATTGGAAGAAAATGAATTTCTTGAGCCAAGAGGAAAAATTCTTGAGTCAAGATAATTTTCTTAATTCAAGAGAATCTATCTTGACTCAAGAATTTTTCCTCTTGACTCAAGAAATTCATTTTCTTCCAATTGGTGTTCTTGGTTCAAGACTTTTGCTCTTGAGTCAAGTTAAAATTTTTATCAGTGCAGTCACGTAGTGACTGCAAGGTTGCTGGTATCAGTGGCTTGGAAGACTTTCTAGCACAAATTTCTGTGTACCCAGTTTTTTTTTTATTTTCCGGCCTATCACAGCATATATTACTATATATGTGTACAAAGCTATGATTAATTATACTAATTTTTTTGGTAGATTCTTTTAGAAAATTACATCAAAATATTATTGAAAATCCTTCTAATAAAAAGTGGGATAGTTAAATTTTCGATAAGAAACATCATTTTTGTTCGATGTGTTTCCAAGCTCACAACCCGAGTTTTCTCAGTCCTATAATCCAGCTTGGTGGCAACTGATTATGCTCTGGTTCGTACTGTTCGTAGCACCTCCCCAATCCGAAGCCTCTGATGGTCTTATCGAGGCTACGTTTGCTCCTATTCGAGGCATCAGCCACCACTGCACCCTCACTACTCTTGGAACTATATCTAGCGGCACCAACACCACCGGCAGCACCTTAGACCTCTTACCACCGAGCTTTACGTCAATTAGAATAAGGTTGGCACTTTCGGCTACGAAGAGTAATTACTTTAATTAACGAAATGAAGGTGGCTGTAATAGTGAGTGTAAGGTGGTGGTGGTGCTCGTTGCTCGACTACCAGGATCAAGTACCAGCGTCCCACCATCTAGTGGGAGTTTCCGTTGTATTAACTGAACCTACAAGTTATCTTGTACTCATGGATTTAGCATGATACCCTGTTCGTATATCACGGGCACGATGAAACGGCTAGCGCCAGACTAGGAAAGGGATTATCGACGCGCTAAGAATGCCTACGCTGATAGATTACCCCGGGCGGTAATTAACGCTTCGACCTTTGAAATTTAAAATTCGATTGATGGTGTCCTTACCCGTCATCCTTGCCCGAGGGCTTGTCCAGTGTTCCGATGGTGTGTTGAGGAGGAGGCATGCTGTAGCAAGGGGCCGGGCTGTAGCCCGCTGGAATCTGGTATCCGGAGGTCACTGGTCCACCTGGGTAGCTCCCTCCGCAGTTGTAGCCCGCCGTTGGGTAAGGGGTGTACGTGTTCCCTGGGTACTCTGGTTGGACGGCTGTCATTCCGTAGCCTGGGTGCGGGCTCATTGGTCCGTATGCTGAAACAATTTAATTTTGGGATTTGAGATATTTTTTTATAAGCTTAACTTCAATAAACTTGATTAGGTACAAATTTGAGAAATTTTAGTTCAAAAAAATTTTATCAACAGTAAATAGTGTCTGGTTTAGCAGATAGGTAGCGAAAGTAGTCCGAAGTTTCTCGCTTACAGACCGGTAGGCCGAGGAATTAACTACCATCAAAAAAAGTTAGATTCTTCGACATGTTCCACTTGTTCGACATCTCCAAACATAATAAACACCTCTAAATGCTAACACATTTGTTAATTTTATTGTTAATAACGTTTTGTTTTAGTATTTTGAGGTTTGAATAGTCGGGAACTTTAAAATAAATCCAGAGGTTACTTTATTAAAGCGTTAGTCTCTTTATAAATTGACATATAATTTTAAGAGTGGAGTTGCGAGTTGCCAAATAAATAATTGGTGAGGAATTGGAACAAAGTTGTAGCTAGAATAATAATAATACTTGGAATAACATGTGCCTTGAAGGTAAATATATTGTTAGCAACCTGCAATTTTAATTACGAACTCAAATTTTCATATTTTTCGATACTTATACTGAAGAAAATTCCGAATCTCTACTAGCTTCTTGCTTTATTGGATTATTTAAGCAAAAATTCCTTTGTTAGATATCTTCAGCAAAGAAGTATTGTCCAGAACAAAGGGTGTTTTGTGTGTTGTCTACTTGAGAGTATCATAAGTGAAGCACCGAGGGAGTAAATATATATTCCGGGGTGTAGAAATGACGATCCCCGACGTGGACGTTGTACTAAAATGTTTCAATTTCAATAACTACTCCCCCGCGTACGGAAAACCGAGTAGGACGAATGGACAATATTGCCGTCGGAGTGTACTCACTGGACTTTTGCCGCGTGTACGCGAAATATTGATAATTAACAATGCCTGTGTTTCCAGCGGTGGTATGAGAATGTGATGCGTGTGTGCGAGGGAGGAAACGCCGAGTGAGATATATAACATTCCGGTGTTTTCAAATGAGTGAGTGAGACATTGGAAAGGGAAACCGAGCAAGGGAGCAAGGGACAGTGAGCGAACGAAACCGGGGGTGGCACGGCTCTATAAAACATGTTGGGTATCTATGTATGCGATATGTATCCACGTGTATGATCAAGTGGTGAGAGTAGACGAAATGAGTCGAGCTCTGGCGTCTATTGCTAAGCCCGTGTACCATTCACTACGAATTTTTATTCGACGCTTGTAACGAAGCACTGGTCAGTCAGCCCCCCGGGGGCACAGCCGCCCGTTTCGGCTCTCTCACTTTTAGCTCCATGATAATCCACGTGCGTACCTTTTTTTGACCTTCCTGCCGTAAGAGAAAGAGTACCGGCTGTTTGCTGCTGGCCCTCAAGCCTCGGGGAGCTTGTATGTTTCCACGCTCAATGTCCGCTTGGAATTTATCACCCTACTCGCTACTCATTTCTCTGCTGTATTTTTTAAGAGCTCGTTTGTTTACTCCAACAGTTCTTTTTTTGCTTTTGATGAACAAGTATGCAATAAGTCACTAAGACTTTACCGTAAGTGGAAACGTTTTTTGATAAAGTGTTATTGTTTTTTCAAAAAATGTTCATTAGTTTCTTCTTATTTTTTATGAATTAATAGACTAATTCTACTGACAACAAATAACAATTTTAGATAATCACGAGGATTGTACTTGTTAAATTTAGAAGATTAAATGTTCGTAGAAAAATACAATTGACAGTCGGGGATATTGCTTTGTTTCATTTTAAAAATTTTATTTTATTGATTAGTATTGTCTGTATCTTGATACTATAATTCAAAATTTCTAAAAGTTGGCCTGGATTTAAATCCGAGTAGTCCCTGTACGTTATCAAAAATATAATCTAAATTGAGTGTAGTTAATTAATTACACCGGAGCAAAGATTAAAAACTCTACTGATTTATATATTAGTATAAAATTTTTAGTCAAATCAGAGCAAAAAAATTTTTTATAGAATGTTACACTCCTTCACTTCAACTAAGCTAGTCCCCGATTACTTACGTCACTAAAATTTTATCTAATTCAAGTGTAGTTAATTATTCCTCACAGAACAAGATTAAACCTCTACAACTAATTAAAAATCAATAACTATTTTTATAAAATCTAATTTTTCTTAAAAATGCGCCGAATTTCTCATCACAGAACAAAGTAAAATTTTTTAAAAATATTAGCTTGTATTTTAACGTAAAACATAAGTTATGAAAAATTTGATCTGAATTTTGAGTTAAATTGGAACAAAAACATTACATCCCTACTTCAACTAAGCTAGTTCCCGAAGGCCTATGTAAAAAAACTGAGCTTTAGTTACAGAATCATAATTTGGAATTAAATATTCTCAAATTCTTCCTTAATCTCTAAAAAGACTAGAAAAATTATTATAGAATCTAATTTTTCTTAAAAATGTGCCGAATTTTTTATTGCTGAAAATAAGGTTCAATTTTCCAAAAAAATTCTAGATTAATTACACCGAAACATTGGTTAGTTAAACTAAGAAGGGTTAGAAAAAGGGCAAAAAAACTGAGCTTTAGTTACAGAATCACAATTTGTAACAAAACATCCTCAAATTCTTCCTCAATCTCAAAAAAATACTAAAAATATTATCAAAACTCACCACTGGGATCTCTGTAGGCATCCATGTAATGAGAAACCCCACTGTCAGGAGTGCTCTCTCGGCTGTAAGCGGCCGCGTGGACTCCGGGTGGTGGAAAGCCAACAGGCCTGATTCCAGGACCGCCGCTGAAATTAACAGGTTCATTAGCCGTAGAAAAATCCACGGGTTCCGTCTGTTCCTCGATGGGTCGTGGTGCTGGGAAAGGCGGACCCACTGGAACGGGAACAGCTTCACCGTGACCCGTCGAATATTGAGGACTAGGAGCTCCGCTGAACATATAAATAGTCAGTTGACTATTCTTAAAACACCTCTATCTACCAATCAAGAAAACCAATTACCTGTGAAGACGATTCACGCTGAGATCCAGAGTCTGTCCCTGGGGGCTCGGAACCTGGGGACTGGATGTGAGGTGAGGACTGGCGGCTGCCTGAGGGCTGCCCCCGACGGTCTGCCCTCCTCCATACTGCGGACTGAGGCTATTGGAGCCGTACGGCGGCGCCTGGGGACTGGTAGACGTCACACTGGAGGTCGACAGATCCATCACGGAGCCACCGGGCGACGTAGGAGGTCCAGATTTCTGCATCTGGACCTGGGCCGTCGTCACGCATTTTACTGAATCACAAAAATCTGTTGATTAATGAAGAATTCCATCAAGCTGGATGCTTGTTCCTAAAGAACATCAACCAGAACTGCTCTTACCGTCTTCGGATTTGATCATTACTCCTGTAGCAGCAGCCATGGCCATCTGGTGCTGCTGCACAGCAGCAGCTTCCTGATGATAAGCTCGCTCCTGTTCATCAGGAGTCATCCCAGATTGTCCTAGGTAGTACATATTCGCTCTGAGATGTAGCTGTTGCTGCTGTTGCTGTTGCTGCTGCTGGAAAGGAGAGCATCCTTGGGTGTCATACCGCTCATAACCTGACCCAGCGCTTGGATCATAAGGACGATGATTGGCAGCCCCCACACTGTCGTATCTCGCAGCCCCGACGTCATTGGAGTACGTAACCACAGGCCTGGTGATCCCATTGCTTACTGGGTGCATGTAGCTCCTGTGTTCTGCGTTCCGATGATGGTAGAGCTCCTCGTTGGTGGTAGACGTCGCTGTCCCGCTCATCATCGGCTCGTAGGGTGACCGCTGAGCCATTTGATGGGACATCCGCGTGTCTTCCACCATCGACATGGGATACGTCACAGTTGGTTGCATCGGCAGCACGTGGTGAGGCGGATGCTGACTCGGATGATGGATAGTAGCTCCAATAGGCCGGGAGTTCATGGCTTCCATCGAGGACATCGACGAGGAATTCGAGTCCTGATTCAGATACGGGTCGTACGGCTGCCTTACTGGCGGAGGAGGCGGAGCCGGCGAATTCACTCGACAAGAAGAGCTTTCCTCGGTCTTGGGGACCAGCAGCTCCGAATTCGAAGGGTTTCTGCCCGGTAAACTGTTGCAGCAGCTCGTTGGAGGCGAGACTTCTGATTTGGGGATTACTTTTGTTGTAGTGCGCGTTGAATTGTCTTCTGGAGTCTTAGGAGGCTTGCTTGGCATTCCAGGACCTTTGTAATAGTCGTAGCTGGGGGAATTGACGGTAGGCTTTGATTCTTGGGACACTGCGCTGTACAATGGGTAGCCCTTGACGTCCATCGATCCCGGTAGCAGGTTCGTGTTGATGAACTCTGGTGGGACTCCTGTTACTGTTTGGAGGTTTTGATTATTGGAGGTAGTTGGTTATTATAGGGGTTGTGAGAAGTAGTGGCTAAGTTGTGCAGACAAGAGCGATTTTAATACAGGCTGTCAAGTGATGGTGCACGCAAAAAAAATTTTGTTAGTTAAAATGTTTCTCAAAAACATTTTTCTAAGACAGTAACTAGATTTTTGAGCTCGAAGTTGTATTTTGAGCTTCAAGAGCTACTAAATTTGCAATAGAAAAATTTTTGAGCGTTTTGAACTTTAATATAACAAAAAGTTCCAGGGATAGCTTTTAGAGTCAACCATATCCAGGATTTTAAATTGTTACAACAATAAACAAAATTGTAAATTATAACTTTGATGACAATTTTGGAGAAAAGCTTCTCAGAATTTTACAACTATTTTTGGCAACAAAATCACTTTGTTCCAACAAAATTAGCTAAATTATTTAGCTTTCCTAAAAAATCATTATTAGGACAACAGATTAGTTGTCAATATAAGTACACTCATTTGTTACAACAACATATTTTCCATATCCCTCTTTTCATTATTTTAACAAAATAATTTTTACGCGTGTGAAAGTGACTAACCTGATAATTTGTGACGGGAATCGCGGGATGCTTGCTTATTGGCCGCCGCTGTTGGGCAACCAGACAGGCTTCTGTGAGTGCTGCGATTGGAGCTGACGTGCCCACGACCATTGCAACCCGGTGTTGGGCATTTCAAAATAGTCTCATGCATCGCCAGGACTAAGAGAATCCAGACGGAGGCCGAAATTACTTTTTTTTTTTTAACGAGACTTAAGGCCGCGCAGAATCGGTCAATTTTAACTTTTCAAATTTTACTTTACAAAAACGTAACGCGCGGGAGGTATTTATAGAGAATACGAAGATTAAGAAGGAAGAAATAAATAAACAGAGAAGTCTTTAGAGGACTTTTAAGTGTGTCTATGTTTTTTTTTTTTAAATAAACATCGAGCGGGTAGAGAGTAAACAAAAAATGAGTCAAATTTTGAATCCCGAACAAAGATGGAGTGTTTTTGGAAATTGGGAGATTCTGTCTTAGGTTGTCTTCGTATCCTCAATTGAATTTAGAAATCGAGGCTTTAATTTTTGATTCTGCGCATGCCGGGTCTCTTTTCGGTCGTCAGGATCTCGATTTTTTATTTAAATAAATAAAAAAAACAATAGATAGATAGAAAATAAAATGCAACTAATTTGTTAAAACTACAAATAAATTGTGAAAAAAACGAAACTCTTGGCAAGTGATCTCCTGTTCTGGGTTGGTCTCCTTCCAAGTTGATGGAACAGAGGTCAAAAAACATAACAAGAAGCTCTCTACCCCGCAAAACATAAAAGCAAATAAAGAATACGTGTGAATTTTTTACAATGTGGTAACAGATAAATAATAGTGAAAAAATAAAGAAATAAATAGATTAGTGAATGAAGAAAATGATGTAAAAAATAATTAACACGCACATACACTCCCACGCGCACGCAAATTTTTTGAGAAATTTTTTTGGTTTAATTTTATGCGATAACGTGGGATTTTTGTTAGTAACTTTAGTGGCAACCTACTTGTGCAAAAATTAATGCACTAATTTCTCTACTTATGCGCTTAAAAATAATTTTGGTTTGTCAAGGTTAGATACTCACTTTCAGGCGTTAATTTGTCCTTTCGCGGACAGCCGGATAAACTGCAAATAATAGAAAAGTTTTTGGTTAGATGGGATTTAAAGTTATTGTTTTTTATTATTGACCTTGTATCTCGTGAACTATTGACATTTTTAAAGATATAAGCTCACCCCGACATTACACTTATCGAGACCTTTCATTTGAGTACCCACATTAATTTTTCATATATTTTATATATTTATATATATTATATATATGTAAATATGAAAAATATATCAAAAATGCATGTGGGTACTCAAATAAAAGCCCTTGATGAGTGTAACATCGGGATGAGCTTATATCTTTAAAATATATATTATATATATATATGTATATATGAAAAATATATCAAAAATGCATGTGGGTACTCAAATGAGAGCTCTTGATGAGTGTAACATCGGGATGAGCTTATATCTTCAAAAATGTCAATATTTAAGAAAATATAGTTCAATTTAACAAAATTCATTATTTAATTAATCAAAATTTTATTTATTTATAGTTTACAATTTTCAGCAGTCAAATAGTGATTGCAGATTACTAGTAATTTTTAAAATCAGTATTAATATAAATTCCAATTTTTTTTATAAATTAGTTTTTCTTCTTTTTTAAATTATTTAATTAATTCTTTTATTCCACATAAGTTTATAATTTCTTTAACTTCCCTTAATCTGCAAAATTTTTTTGTTTTAAAATTCTTGCTCATAAAATTTGTTTATAGTTTTCTAAAAATTTTCCATCATTTATTAAAAAAAATTATTTTTACTCCCAAACATAACCTTCCGTAAAAAACCTCTGTTAATTTTAATTAAAAGCTTCTAAAAATTTTCAAAGGCAGGTAGCGAGATTTAGCGGTCAGTTAATTATCAGTAATTGCTTACCTGCGATGGTGCGAGTAAAGTCCGGTCACGTGACCTTGGCCCGTACAACCTGGTGTCGGGCACTTGTTGCCCTCTGAAACACAAATCAAAGCTATGTTATTGCACCTCGTCACGATAGACTTGTTTATAATTATTTGCCGTCGATAGAAAATTATAAATTAATCTATCCTAATATAAACTAAAGAAAAAAAAAGCAAAACTCCGTTTCTTCACGATTAAAACCCAAACAAATTTCCGATTCACGCTAAAAATTAATGTCGTAAATAATTTACCACAACTATTATCGACTGACCACAATTACCCGGCAGACACGTTCATCCACAGAACGAAAGTCTTGGTCACGTAATATACAGCATACAAAGAAGAAAAAACCAGCCTTACAATAATCATACTCGCAATGTACGATCGTAACAGACTATATAGTCGTATGACTAGTCCGGAGTCTTGCATGGAACATGGAACAAGATCGCGTGACCCCGGAATAACATATAATGCTTCAAATTCACCGTATCTCAATCCCGACATGACTGAACTCAACGTTTACCGTCATGACAATATTGTAAATTCTGATAATTATTTCATTAAACCACGACCATGTGATTTTATGTAAGAAAATGACGTATATTGTGGAAAAATTAAATGATTTTTAATTAATTAAAAAATCCGCTATAAAAGTCAACATATTATTTTTTAGGACCTCAAAAATTTTTCTCTAATCAAAATTCAATTTAATAAATCAGTTATACATTTTAAAAAAAAATCAAAAAAATGGCACGCGTCTCCTTCACCCCCTAACACAGAAATGAATAAAACAATGTTGGTGTTTATGTAGACCTCTGGCTTAATCCCACGATGACGGTGACCCTCACATGAAATGGCTACGAAATAACACTATTACACACTTGGCCTCCCCTTACGGTTTCTGCTTTCCGACCTCACCCACGCTCATGCCCGGTTTATCCCTCGACAGCTTCACTCTTTCATGCCCTGAAAAAGCAACCCTCAACCCTCTGCCAAACCTTTGGCCTCTACTCGCTCGGAAAAAAAATAAAACTGAAAAAAATCTTCACCGGTGCTCGTTACAAGTCTATTCAAGCTCCGGAAAAGAACCGCGTGCCGGTATTCATTTTGTTGACCGGAAGCATTACCATTCGCACCTAATTTATTAACACCGCTTCCTACAAACAAACTAAACTCCTTCCTCTGTTGTTTTCCTGCTAATTCTTCAGAGGATGGACGATGCTGCTCTGCCTCTTACAGGGTAAAACAGGTTAATGACGTCACGCGCTAATCCAATTTGCTTTACTATTTACCGCTCTATCTTCTAAGATAGTTCGTATCTGTAAAGCATAGGTAGAGATGGAAGGACTAGACGCAAAATGACGTCCTGATGAAGTTTATACACGCCGGTCGAATCGACTGAGGATCATCCAGGGCAAAGCCGGAGGGATTAGTACGACAAAGTTTATAAAAGTGCTAGTCCAATCCTATTGGGAATCCTGCCCCTGTACTCGACATATCCCCTTAGATCCTTACATCCCTTCAATCTCACCCTCTCACCCTCTCCGGCCTCACTTTGCTCGGTTCTTATCTTCCAAGAGTGTATCGTATGTATATCTATGGCAATTTCTCGAGAAAATCATATGATCAAGGCTTAATAAAGTAATTATTAGAATTTACAACGTCAAAAAATGGGACAACTGATAGAAGGATTTAGTAACAAAATTTTTATTCATTCATTTGGGAGAAACAAATATTTTGTACATACATGGAGAAAATTTTATAGTAGAGTTTATTATCTAGTTATGTTAAAATCTATTAACTGAATTCGATAGTAGTAAATTCGATATTAGTTACTACTATTATCAAAATCGTAATTCCTAATATAACCTGATGGTTGTAGTTACTATCAGTCATAATAATAATAATAATAATAATAATAATAATAATAATAACTACTATCTAAGTTAGTAAAAAATGTGGATGCATTTCTGAATAAACTAAAAGCAGCTGTAGTGCACAAAAAATCGGGATTAAATTCGGATTGAAATTATATATTTAAATTTTTATTTTGTCTAAAACAAGTATTTACGATTCAAATTTTGAAAAAAATTTGAAATTTCCAAAATAATCAAAATTTTCAATAAAATTCAAATAAATCATTCAAAAAACAAATTTTAAATCTTCTTTTTTACAATCTGAGATGGTTACAGTCACCATGTTCAATTGTAACAGTTATAATTTATAATAATTACAATTATTATTTTTGATAGTAATCGTTGCCATTATTAATAGTAACTATTACAATTGTCAATGATACCACCTATTATTTTGTTACTAATTAATTTTATTACCATTTTAGATAGTAGGAGTTACTATTTTTGTATAGTAGGTAGTATAATTAATTTTTCTGCGTGCATCAATATTATTTGTTACAGTTTAATAAATTATTTATTTATATGAACAAAGCCTTATTACATGAAAATAAATATTTATTTCCACCAAATAATATTTAGTAACAGGTACTAAATATTTCTTTGGCAAGTATTGTCGGTAGATGGCTATGCTTTAATTCAAATGTTTATGTGATACATAACCTATTCACTGACTCAGATTATTTTATTCAGCTCGATTTTGTGAGATTTATTAAACCTTTAAAAACACACATACTCCCAATAAATGTCCTCTATTTATGTCTTTTCTCAGTGGAGTTTAGTTTACATTTTTCAATTCGTCTATTATTGATATGTTAAAAACTTAATTTTAAATTTTATAAATGTCTCAAACAGAAAAATATAATTTAATGAGATTCTTTTCTTTATAATACCTTATATTTTTACTTGAAATTATTTATTTTAAGTTAGAAAGTTAGGTTACATAAAATTAGTTAAAAAATTAATTTCTTTGATACCAATAAACGATTTATTGCGTAGCAATAAATCATTTGTCAATACTAAATATTTATTTGGTGGCAATGGGCTTTAATAAATGACTTAGTACCTATTACTAAATATTTGGTAATGAAAGGTTTCTTACTAAATCCTTGAGCATCTGTTACTAAATCTTATTAAATAGAACTAAATCCTTCTATCAGTCTATTAATCCTTAGGAGAAGGATTGAAAGTAAATTATTAAAGAACCGAAAAAATTAACTAAAACATTTTTTGTAGAGAATCAAATTTTTTACAAAAAGATTCTTTATGAATTTTTTATATCTCTTATATTTTAGTCAGAATATAAATTACAAATTTTTTTTCGACTTTTATATTCATTTTTGGTTCGCGAATTTTTTAAATTGAACTAAAAAATGCGCAAAAAAATTTTGTTCCATGAAAGTGATTCAAAAATTTATATTTTGAAACAAATGTGACTTTACAATGGATTTGTTACAATTTTTTTGCAATAATCTAGAAGAAAACAAGGATTTAAATTTTCTGACCTTATCTAAAATATTTTAGAGCCTTTTTAGAAACAAATCTTAAAAAAATTTTGTGTAAAAATCATATTTGTGTCAAAATATCACTTAAACTCGTGAAAATTACCTTAACACGTCTCTTTATTTATTATTTAGTTTGTTAAATACCGGTGACCGTAAAATTGAGTTACACGGTAGTTTATTTTATTAGTTTGTTTTATTTTTATCGACTACTAACAACTGAAAAAGGGGGATGGGAGTAGTATTGTACGGGGTGGCTTTTTGCGGGCGGCGGATTTCCCCGATAGTGGTTTTATAGCGTGTCAACACGCTTCTCTTTTGCTCGGAGAAAACGACGCCCGGAAATCCAATCGTGCACGCAATCATATCTCAAAAATCTAATAAAAGCTTACGTTTTTTAACGTGTGTGAACATACTATAGAATTTTTATAATAAATACCTATTTTTTACACGGTTAACGTGAGTGCGAAAAGATTGTTTGGTTAAATAACGCGAATTAGGTCGCACGTTATGCTCCGGGGATTAATCATAATTTAGGAACCAATGAAGGAATTAAAACCAAAGATTTAAGCGATGTCCTTTCTCTAAGATTCGGCATTAGCTAATTTTCCCGGCGGATTTGGAAAATGAGGGCTAGCTTTAGTGATAACGCTAAAGCTTACAAATTATTATTATTATTATTATTATTATGGTATATATGTAAGCGAAGGGAGATGCTAGTCACGTTTCCACTCGCTGACAGCTGTGGCTTATACGTATGACGTGGTATCAACCCCAAATTTTCTCAACTAAAACCCTCATCGTGTCACCGAACGTAAGACCAAGGAATGCACTTTACTCAACCCGTCAATCCTACTCTCATTTATCCGTAAATATTTCCCAAATAATTGCAACCAGCGTGATAAATAATGAAAATTAAAATGGAAAATAAGGTAAAGTACCAAATATGGGGCCAGTACTTGAACAGACTTTTCGAATTGTTATAATACAAAATCCGTAAATTTATAATAAATAATATGCGCATATAATTATTAAATCATACAGTAATTGATTTCTGTAAGTTTTTTCAATTATAAATCAAAACAATTATAATTTTATTAACTTAAAAGTTTACATGTCGAGAATCGCCGATAGATGCTATTTTTTTCATGAAAAAGGTACTAAATCGTAAACCGAACAATCAGTAAAAAAAAACGGTATATCATCATTTTAAGTAAAAAAAATTGTACCATCTAATGAAATAGTCTTTTCTAAATAACATATATTTTTTGCAAAAACATAAACTATAATTTTTATAATAAATTTTAGCGTTCAACTATACCTCGAAATTTTCAAAGCGGTACCCATAACCTGAACAGGTTGAGGCCGTATAATTTTAACAGCACTATAACCTCTAATAGGTTTATAGACTAGTGATCAGTATTGTAATTTGTATTAATTACTGCAATTTAAATAAGTTTTATGACTAAAAATTAGTGTAGTTAAAAATTATTGAACGTTTTGAATAGAGTTTTTTTGATTTATAATTGAAAATTTGCTTTGTCATTCATAAAAAATGTGATTAAAAAATTAAATACAAATATTTATCATTTTTAAATGATCATATTAAATATTCAGTATTATTTTTAATATTATTCAATAATATGTTATAATTCTTTAGATATTTCAATAAAACGTTTAAAATTTTGGTGTGCCTATTGCCATATATTTTGTTAATTCAACTACTGCTCCCAGAGTGTTCAACTGCGGCTTGTCAGAATTAATTGTTCAACTACTCCTCCTTTCAGTCTATTTTAAAAACGTTTTCAAAATATAAATATTCAATTATCTTTGTTATTTTGCTAATCAATTCAAATTTATTTATATTTTCATGAAAATCACTAATTTAAACTAATAACTACATCTTTATATATTAAAAGTAGGGTCAAATAACTTTTACTTCAAAACCTGTTCAACTAATGAGTACTTTACCTTAGATGAAGGATAAAAAAGAAATTGAAAGGGTTGGAAGCTCTGCGGAGGACAAGAATAAGGGAATAGGACCTTGATTTAAACATTTGAGTCATCGCACCCTCGCTTTGGTAATTATTGATTTTCTGTGCTCGGACTAAGTCTCCCCTAACTTTATAGAAAATGAGAAGAGAAGAGAGGTCCAGGAGCGGTGAGCAGTGCAGTGATGAGAAAAGTGTCTTTTGTCGGGGTTTCATCTCCAAACCGTATATCTGCTCCCCTTAGGCTTACCCACGCGATTAAAAAGCGCAAAAGTAACCCTAGACTTATTTCTGACATTTGTCACATTTGTATACAGACATATCATAAATGAACATGTGAAAAAAGAGGCTGATGCCATACCTCGAGCAAGGCTGGACGGTGACATAGACATCCCGGGTCTGCTGGCGTCGAATCCGTTGCTATCTGCCATCTTCATCACGTCTGATGGACCGGTTCCTGTTGTGGTAGAGACGTCACCGACTGATGGACAAGTGGTGGTAGAGGTGGTGGTGTTGGTGGTGATACTGCTGGCATTCGTGTTACCAATGTTCGTGGATCCAGTGTTGGTGTTGTTAGAACTATTGGTGTTACTGCTACTACCATTATTACTATTGCTATTAGCATTGTTATTGTTAGCAAGAGTACTGTTGTTATTATTGTTAACGGGTCCGTTTTTGAGGTTCCCGGCGTAACTGCTGGTGGTATTGCTGCCAGCAGCACTGGTGACAGCGGTGACACTGACGACACCTTCACGAGCGATGTCTTGGATCGCGGTGGCAGCCCGCGAGCCTAGACCAGCTGGTTGAAGAATAGTGTACTGCTTCGAAGAATTGGTGTCAGGTGATGTAACAGGCGGCAATCCCGTTCCAGTTGGCTTTACGACGATCGGGGCTGCTTCCGGCTGAGGCTGGTGTTCCTCTTTCGGTGATTTCAACTGGAGAAGCGACACCGAGTGCTTATCGTCGACTGAGGGCGGGATCACCGGCTGTGGGACTGGCATCACTGGACCAGGAATTGGCGTAGGAAAGCCCACGAATGTTGCTGATGCGGGATAGGGTCCTATTGGCGGGCTGGATACGGCTGATGCAGGTACTGGGGCACGGCAAGGCTTCGTGTGCTCAGAATTCGGAGGCCGGAACGCTGACGATCCGGAAAATGATGATGAAGATTTTAAATTGTTATCCGGGTACCTTTGGTAGTTTGGGTACATCTGATGTCTCGGATGAGGTCCGTTGCTTTTGATCCTGTCCTTGTCCTTGTCATCAGGGCGATCCCGGTCGTTGTCTTCCTTTTCAGCCAAGGGGTCTGACATGTCGATCTCCAGTTCATTTGAAGAATCATCAACTAGTTCATTGAAATCCGGTGGGTCATAACGAGAATACTTATCACCATGTCTTAGATCAGCCATCCTGTCATTCCTGTCCTTCATCATCGTCGACCTGGAGAACGACCGCATTTTATTCGGATCTGTCATCTGACACTGCACCGGTTGACACTCAGGGTCCATCCTCATCAAGATTTCATCCTTCTTCTTCATTAACTGTGCCTGCTGCTTATGGTCTTGCAATTTATTCTGCTGAAACCGTCGATCCTGTTGCCCGCGATACGTAATCACATCTTTAAGCGAGCAACCCGTTTCTCCGCTATTACTCGAAGATGTTGACACAGAAGAGGGTGACATTTTGGGATTGTCTTTCTTCTCCTCGAACAAGTTTTCGAAATTCGACTCGTATTTGTCTTCATCAGGATTGCCTCTTTGGTACATCGAGCCACTAGGCCCAGGCCAACTACCCGACAAACTTTTCAATGCAGCTTCCGTTTCACGTATCAAAGTTTCATCGTCCTCAGGTTCATCAGAATTCTTACTAGATTTTCTAGCCGGGCTGCCTAAGTTATTGTTAGCACTAAAAACACGTTTTTTCTGGGGTAACGCCATAGTTTTGTTGTCACTTTGGTCAATATTCTTTCTCACATCATCATGCACAATTTTTCTCCTACGCTTGGTGGCTACGTCAAAATTTTCCATGTCCTGCTGTTGCTGCATCTGGCCACTTGGTTGATTAACACCAACAACACCTACACCCACACCAACATAACCACTACCACCGGCACTACAAACTTGATGTAACGGTTTTTTACCATTCAGCGGCAGCGATGATTGTTGCGGCTGCAGTGGCTTCGGGACAACCGAATCAGCTTCCAGCTTCCGTTTTTTGAGATGTGCCATTGCATTCTGTCCACCTGGCACGCTGGTTAGTTCCACCCTGGAACACAAAAATCCCAGGTGAACTCTTGTCATTCACAGAATCATCATTAACATCATCATCAATTTTTTCAAATTACTAATAACAAAGCACATGTTCCTCATCACTACGACCCAATAAATAAATCATCTTAATTCCTACCTATCATCCCAAAAATACTTCTAATCGCTATTGTCAGCGTTGCTAATCAAATTCTAACTAACCAAATCACAGATCGGAAAAATTGCACTGTTAAGCTTAAGAAACCCCGACGAAATTGCTTACCTCAGACGCGAATCTGACGATAGGGGCGCAATGAAAGTTTTCGCGTTGAATAAACCCTCACCGACGGGGTGCTCGCGAGCTACTGTGTGCTATGTAGAATAAACCCACTTGGGGCAGCTGGCGGGGGTTGATATTCCGAGTTGGGTTGATATTCCATAGTGGGAGTAAGAGCGATGCACGTGCGCGGACGGACGACAAGCGCATTCTCAAGTCGACGCTGAAGGTGGGGGGCGGGTTTTGCGCACTGTCCACCCCTAAGGTATACTGGGGAGTGAATCCACCCCCGTTTGTGATCTTTTCTCCCGTGCATTCTATGCTGGTGCAAGCCTCTTTGCAACTGGAAAAAGTTTTAACCAACGAGAAGAAAAACGACATGAAAAGCTCCGGGTTCTAGATTGTCTCTTTAAACCTTGGATGCAACTTGCTATCAAGACCAATACTTTGTACTTATTATGCTTTATAAACAAAGAACTTTAATAGAGCTTTATTATAGTTTTCATGCTTTTATGTCTTGTCGACAACTTTTCTGACTAAATATTACGTGGATGAAGTAATGGTCAATTGACGATCTGCCATACTTTAATAGCAATTACCATTTCCCATCGGTAGTAAATTTGTTAGTAAAGCATTTTGCTAAGAGTAATTATCCCTTGGATTAATAGTTATCAAAATTATCTCGGATACAATGAGTTAAATTAGATAAACCACGATCGAAGATTTAGCGAGTCTTGAATGAAGAGCCGGATCAGCGTCAGCGCTTAGAAGATTCTCTTCTAGGATTGAAGCCTCCCTTTAAACCTCAGCATCCCTTTTCTTGGCTGTTGTCTCTCAGTAACTTCCCGGCTTTACTCATCTCTACCTCGAGGTAACCAACCAGCAGTATCCGCCTGCTTTTGAAAACCAACCGAGTTTAGAGAAGTGAACAGAGAGAACTATCCCAACAGATGAGAGAGGATCACCAGAAATTGTAAGTTAAATCGCACCGTTGGCTCAAGACATTATCACTTTTATTTAAGGAGCAGCAAGACCGCTCGACCAAGCGGGGACTAAGGACTTGAGTGAGCAGATGAAAAGCAGCTCCAAGGGGTGGCAAGCTCCAACCAAGGACGGGTTGGATGAACCATAGGAGCTCAAGAAGGAGCCACAGAGAAAGATGAGAAGGGATCGATGAGTCTTCTCATCCTTCGGCTCCCTTTCTCGCTCCGTCCCAATCGTCTTTCTCTTTTTATCCCTTCGCCACGCAAAACCCATGGGGAATAATTAGAAAGTAACCCCTCGACTACGTGATAAGATGATGAACACATCGGCTACCATCAAAAAGTGGATCAACAATCTAAAAATAAACCAACGTCTCTTTAATGCATACATTGAATCTCGACAATTAATTAGCAAACCTCAGGTAGTCTTCAGCATATAAGATCTTCTCAAACGTCCCTACCACTATCTCCAACACTACCACCCAGGATTTGGGTATTAAGCGACGTCACGTCACTAATCTAAAGAGCACTACTCCAAGAGATAGCCAAGCAAAGTTGGGCATCCTGTTTCTGCCCTACACCCAGTGCATCATTTTCCTTCGACAATTCCAATTAGATAAACCACTGGATCACGGCTCTTAGCGGTCAGGATATCCGTCCAGGCATTCAACCAGTTATCAGTGTATCGGAATTTCATTTGTCTTTTGGTGAGAACATCAATGCTAAACCAAAAACTGAGCTTCTACAGCGTCGGATAATTAGATTAACCGAATCAAGAATGTAATTTATGAAGGAAATTTAAGGAAAGACTCATGTGTCTTTTTCGCGCTGAAGCAAATGGGGAGCCAGATAATTTAAGACTCTCTCACGCGTGGATAATGGCCGAGCTGGCTAATGCACCCTTACTTTTGGCACCAAGTCCTGCTGGATACACATGACTCGGTGCTCTTGCTTCTTTTCGGTAGAAAGGAACTACCATGACTCTCTTTTCGCACTTTTACCCATCACCACCTCCAAAATTCTACAGATTCTACCCTCTTTCTGCTACAACCCGGCGTCTCAACCCCAGCTACGGAATACACAACAGAACATACCCTTGTTGTGCCTCCAGCAACAAAACATCACGATTGCCTTGCTCCAGAAAAGAAGATCATCGAATAGAGGAGCTTTCCAGCCCCTTGTCGATGCGACATATGATGAAAGCTCCGTTCAAGAGCTTCGCCTTGTCAATTATTGAATAAATTCGACTAAGTGCTGCGCTGCGACAAATTTTTCAACGGTACTAAAATGCTAACGAGTCTTTCGATAGAGAGTACTCTTGACTCTTGACCCATGACCCTTGGCTAACGACATCCAGATTGGCTTTATTATCTATGTCGAAGGGACCAGTGATATGTTATACGGACTCCCTTGGACCTAAACAATATCGCGATCTCCCAGATTTTAGAGGAAAATCTTATAATTTTATCTTGCGAGTGGACATCTGGCGAAATGCTCTTTCTATTCTGCCCTTATCGGAAACTAACGACCTCCATTTCGGGACGGATCGGGACACTAAACCAATCGAATTCCAATAAAATATTTAACGCTGACCGGGACTGCCCTCAAGTGCTTCTTCTTTAAGAGAGAGCATCTGGCTCAATCGCATATTGAAAGTTTGAGCGTCTTTTTTTTTTAGGTATATTTGTTTCAAACTTGAGATAGTAAATACCTTAAATAAGTTATTAGAAGTTTTATTTTAACTCTGGCTCTAATGTACCTTTGTTTTATTTCGCTCGCTTTCTCTTATAGACCATTAAATATTGAGCTTACTATAGTCTTACTATTGTTTGCTCAAGTAACTGTCTTTGTGTTAACGTTTATGATGACGTTTGATTACGAAGTGTCATTAAATATTTAAGAATTTAAGGTAAAGTACCCAGTACTTTAACATTTATAAAAATGGGACCAGTCCTTGAACAGACTTTTCGAATTGTTATAATACAAAATCCGTAAATTTATTATGAGTAATATGCGCATATTTTAATTATTAAATGATACAGCAATTGATTTCTGTAAATTTTTTCAATTATAAATCAAAACAATTATATTTTTATTAACTTAAAAGTTTATATGCCGAGAATCGCCGATAGATGCTATTTTTTTCATGAAAAAGGTACTAAATCGTAAACCGAACAATAAAAAAAACGGTATATTATTTTAAGTAAAAAAAATTGTACCAATTAATGAAATAGTCTTTTCTAAATAACATATATTTTTTGCAAAGACATAAACTAGAATTTTTATATTAAATTTTAGCGTTCGACTATACCTCGAAATTTTCAAAGCGGTACCCATAACCTGAACAGGTTGAGGCCGTATAATTTTAACAGCACTATAACCTCTAATAGGTTTACAGACTAGTGATCAGTATTGTAATTTGTATTAATCACTGCAATTTAAATAAGTTTTATGACTAAAAATTAGTGTAGTTAAAAATTATTGAACGTTTTGAATAGAGTTTTTTTGATTTATAATTGAAAATTTGCTTTGTCATTCATAAAAAATGTGATTAAAAAATTAAATACAAATATTTATCATTTTTAAATGATCATATTAAATATTCAGTATTATTTTTAATATTATTCAATAATATGTTATAATTCTTTAGATATTTCAATAAAACGTTTAAAATTTTGGTGTGCCTATTGCCATATATTTTATTAATTCAACTACTGCTCCCAGAGTGTTCAACTGCGGCTTGTCAGAATTGATTGTTCAACTACTCCTCCTTTCAGTCTATTTTAAAAACGTTTTCAAAATATAAATAATCAATTATATTTGTTATTTTGCTAATCAATTCAAAATTGTTTATATTTTCATGAAAATCACTAATTTTAACTAATAATTACATCTTTAGATGTTATTAAAAGTAGGGTCAAATGACTTTTACTTAAAAACCTGTTTAACTACTGGGTACTTAACCTTATAAGTCTTTTACAAAATTATTGTTATGCGTGAGGTTATCAGACGTCTTGATCCTCCGACAAAATATCCTCGACATAATATTTATTTAGGGGATATTTTGTCTAAAAAAATTTCCCCTCAATTTAAAGCAGTAAATCAGTTACAATTAAAAATTTTACGGATCAAACTAAAAGGGATCTAAAATTCCCACTCTAAAATTTGATATCAATCATCCGTTAAAAAAATTAAAAATAAATTACAGTAGGTCGATAAAAATATATCATCGAAAAAAGGCTAGTTTGTTAAGTGAAACAGTTGGGACAGAAGGTCACGTATCGTGTAACATGATTACAAATATATCATAACCTCCTTTTTTCGTAAGGTTTCATACCTTAGTGTAGTAGCAAAACATTCCCCCTGTTTGCACGGATTTCAGCGGGACTAGAGGCGTAACACGTGCGTAGCCTGTCGATGCCGGGTTTTATCGCCGCAAATCATTGAAACAACTTTATAAGACACTGACAAAACAAAACAAGGCATCATTTATTTATTTTTTTTCCCTAAATTTTATTACACTGAAACGAAATTTGAAACGGGAAAAATGTGGAAGGGGCTTGGAATTTGTTCGAGACGCTGACTGCAGATGGAGCCAGACAGAGTAGGGATTCCCAGTAGACAGGAGCAGCAAGCAAGATATCTCGGAATGTTTTACACCTCATTAGGCAACAATGTGTTGTTGTCAGGGTGAATTATATCGGGCATGAGACGACTTGGCTGTCAAGACAAATGGCCCAAACCGGAGGTAATTGTGGGCTTTTATTAGCTCTGGTTTTCGAAGTGAACCGGGT